GATCCCCCCTCCCAGGCTAAAGGTAAGCAGGGAGGGGGGATATAATCACTCAGGGCACAGCAGTCTCACAGACACCCCTAACACTCACTCACACACACTGCACCCCTGACACTCAAAGCACCCTCACACACACACTGCACCCCTGACACTCACAGCACCCTCACACACACACTGCACCCCTGACACTCACAGCACCCTCACACACACACTGCACCCCTGACTCTCACAGCACCCTCACACACACTGCACGTCTGACACAGCACAAACAAAATGCACCCCTTACACTCACAGCACCCTCACACACACACACTGCACCCCTAACACTCACAGCACATACACTGCACCCTCACACACACACTGCACGTCTGACCCTCACAGCACACACAAAATGCACCCTTAACACTCACAGCACCCTCACACACACACACACACACACACTGCACCCCTGACACGCACAGTGCACACACTGCACCCCTGACACTCACAGCACCCTCACACACACACACTGCACGTCTGACCCTCACAGCACTCACAAAATGCACCCCTAACACTCACAGCACCCTCACACACTGCACCCCTGACACTGTCAGCACCCTCACACACACACTGCACGTCTGACACAGCACAAACAAAATGCACCCTAACACTCAGGCACCCTCACACACACACACCTGCACTCTGACACAGCACAGCACACACACTGCACCCCTGACACTCTCAGCACCCTCACACACACACTGCACCCCTGACACTCACAGCACCTCACACACACTGCACGCCTGACACAGCACAAAACAAAATGCACTCCTAACACTCACAGCACCTCACACAAACAAAATGCACCCCTAACACTCACAGCACACACACTGCACCCCTGACACAGCACCCTCACACACACACACACTGCACCCCTAACACTCACAGCACATACACTGCACCCTCACACACACACACACACTGCACATCTGACCCTCACAGCACACACAAAATGCACCCCTAACACTCACAGCACACACACACACACACACTGCACCCCTGACACGCACAGCGCACACACTGCACCCCTGACACTCACAGCACCCTCACACACACACTGCACGTCTGACACAGCACAAACAAAATGCACCCCTAACACTCAGAGCACCCTCACACACACACACTGCACCCCTGACACACACAGCACACACACTGCACCCCTGACACTCTCAGCACCCTCACACACACACTGCACCCCTGACACTCACAGCACCCTCACACACACTGCACGCCTGACACAGCACAAACAAAATGCACCCCTAACACTCACAGCACTCTCACACACACACACTGCACCCCTGACACACACAGCACACACACTGCACCCCTGACACTCACAGCACCCTCACACACACTGCACGTCTGACACTCACAGCACACACAAATGAACTCCTTGGACACTCTGCTTGTGCTACTACTACTAATAATAATACTACTACACTGCACCCCTGGACACTCACAGCACACACAAAATGCACCTATAACACTGCCAGCACCCTCACACACACACTGCACCCTGGACATGTACAGCACACACTGCACCCCTTTGACACTACAGCACCCCCTCACACACACACACACACTGCACCCCTGACACACACATCACACACACACACACACTGCACCCCTGACACTCACAGCACCCTCACTCACACACTGCACGTCTGACACTCACAGCACACACAAAATGCACCCCTAACACTCACAGCACCTTCACACACACACACTGCACCCCTGACACGCACAGCACACACACTGCACCCCTGACATTCACAGCACCCTCACACACACACTGCACCCCTGACACGCACATCACACACCCTCACTCACACACACTGCACCCCTGACACTCACAGCTTCCTCACATGCATACACTGCACCCTCACACACAGCTTCCTCACATGCACATAGCACCCTCATGCAAACACAGTACCCACTCACACACAGCACACACACACTGCACCCATCACACACACAGCACCCTTACCCACATAGCACCCTCACGCAAACACAGCACCCATCACTCACACACACACACTGCGGCCCTCTCTCACACACACTACACCCCTTACACATACACACACAGAGCACCGTCACACACACGACGCAATATGCTTTCCTGGCATTTTTGTCTCCTGGTATCCAGTGGCGTAGCGTGGGTTGTCAGTACCCGGGGCAAGGCAAGTAATTTGCGCCCCCTAACCCGTGGATTTTAGCACTCGAGTCTCTTCCACTAGATTAGTTAAAGAAACCCTTACCCCCCAAGCACATGTATTGTTTGTTATGAAAATACTTATGTAAAGTAAAATGCATCTAAATACAAGTTTATTTTCCAACACTTTATTGAGTGCGAACATGCATTACACACATTCTCCACATTTTCAGCAGGTCTATGAATACAAATATTCAAATGTAGTAACCTAGCATGGGCCATGCTATTATATGTCGTCTCACAACCATCGTAAACGACAAAAAATATCAAGAACAAAAACTAAACATCAAAATGGAACCATACCCTGGAGATGATCCAAGACTGGGCTAGATGGAGCCAACTTCCTCAATCCTGTACCTCTAATTGTAATTCTTTAATAGAAGTGCAAGATATCAATCTGTATATAATATACAGATTAATTTAAATTCGCCTGCTTTTAATTAGCGCAAATTTTTCAACAACGGAATAGTGTTTCTTTAATGTGAGGTAAATTAGAGATTAGTGCCACAAATAATATACTAGATTGCCTACTTACAACGAGATGAGGATGATGATGGGCTCTAGCTGCGGTCTGGCTCCACTGGTCTGGTGTAGAACAGGCTCTCTGGAGGCTGTTTGTAACTGTGGTCACAAAAATCAATGTTCTGGGAGAGCGGGAAGCAGCTCCATTTTTTGGGGGGCCCTTTACACAGCTCAAGGTCTGGATCCCAGGGTCCACCTTCATGTTCCACCAATGAGTTTGTTCACAGGGGGTGGAGTGTGTAGGGGATGTCCTGATATGTGTGTAAGGAATGCATTGTGTGAATCTGTGTTTGTATGTGTAAGGGCTGCAAGGTGTATTTCTGTGTATGTACAGGATGCAGTGTGTGCGTGTGTAAGGGGTGCATTGAGTGTGTGTAAGGAATGCATTGTGTGTTTCTGTGTGTGTAAGGGATGCATTGTGTGTAAGGGTTACATTGTTTGTGTGTGTGTGTGTGTGTGTGTAATGCCTTGTGTGTTTTTCTGTGTGCAAGGGGTGCATTGCATGTGTGTGATGGATGTCAATCTCTCCCCCCTCCCTTGTTACTCTCTTCTCCCCCCTCTCCCTCCCTTGTCACTCTCTTCTCCCCTCCCCCTTCCCACTCTCATTGCCCCTTCCTCCCCTGTAACTCTAACCCCCGTCAATTTCTTCTCCACCCCACCAATTTCTTCTTCTCCCCCCTCCCCTACCAATTTCTTCTTCTCCCCCTCCCCTACCAATTTCTTCTTCTCCCCCCCTCCCCTCCCCATTTCTTCTTCTCCCCCCTCCCCTACCAATTTCTTCTTCTCCCCCCTCCCCTGCCAATTTCTTCTTCTCCCACCCTCCCCATTTCTTCTCCCCCCTCCCCTACCAATTTCTTTTTATCCCACCCTCCCCATTTTCTTCTCCCCCCCACCAATTTCTTCTCCCCCCTATCAATTTCTTCTTCTCCCCCCTCCCCTACCAATTTCTTTTTCTCCCACCCTCCCCATTTCTTCTCCCCCTTCCCCTACCAATTTCTTCGCCCCCTCCCCTCCCAATTTCTTCTCCACCTCCCCTGCCAATTTCTTCTCCCTCCTCCCCTCCCAATTTCTTCTCCCCCCCCTCCCCTCACAATTTCTTCT